TACAGAGAACCAAACTGTCATTCACAATCCACCATGGGGAAAGTCATCAGGAGTGTTAATGGCAGGTATTAGGGCAGGTGTTAGGGCAGGTATTATGGCAGGTATCAGACCCCAGCATCACACGGCTCCTAGATGCTTCTCCCAACAACCCCAGTTCTGCCTCCTTTTGCCTTCTGAGCCGTCAAGGGGAGCAGCACAGACTCATCAGCGGCGAGCTTCTCAGCTGCAGTCAGATCGATAGGAAACGCCACTGTGTTGCTAAGCAGCTGTGCCCCCCCCTCCCCCCTCCGAATGGTGTTTCGCAGCTTCGCTCGGCCTCGTTGCGAGGCAGACTTACTTGGCCCTACCAGCTGCAGGTCTCCAACACTGAAGAGCCTGCATCTGAGAACAGCTGCTGAAATTCCCAGAATGCTTTGCCCTTTTCGCTTCCTGCCCATCCACAGTCTCCTCTCCATGGACATTCTGACCGTGCTGACTGCATGAACTGTTGGGCCATGCTGGGTTAATTTGGGTTGTGCTGGTTGAGACGTTACACAGACTGCAAAATGGGCATTTCTCCTTAGTAGGGCTATGAAGCATCGACTCCAGGCCGATTCTATTACATTATGATTATTTAAGGAACTATTAGATGCATCTGATATCTTTACTTTTTTCCACGAGTCGATTTGTTTTGATAACCTTAATCCAAAACTTTTTAAAATTCAGTGAAAACATTTCACAAATATGATCACAATTAATAGATTTCAAATAAAGTAGAATCTCAGAACACAATTTTTAATTATTAAACTGGGCCAGTCTACAATGTCAAAAAGCCCAACTACTGATTAGTACAAAATAAACATAAAGGAAGTGCTGCCTGATTGGCCGATTTCACCTAACTAGTGGTGCGGTGATGTGGAAATTTTGACTGATAGCAATAACCAATATATTTGTCTAATATGTCTAATATTGCTGATTCTGATGACAGGCTAACCTTGAGCCACTTGGGTTTGCCAGCGCAGATTAGCAGAATGACACATCATTGTTTTTTATTCTGCGGAAAATGCAAGATTGAGCCGAGAGCCACATTTATAATGAATTTTAAACATGTTGCAGGCCAGTACCTTGATGCCTTTTCTAAGTGGTGAATGATCTGACGAAATCGCTCGTCCTCCACTGTGGAAAATGGCTGATCGCCCAATGCAACCGTCTCCATTATCTCATTTGTTGTGTCTTTAGCTCTGGGGCTGCCAACTTTGAAAACTGAGAAAGTTTAAATGTCGGCCAGCAATACTTGGCCAAGAATGACACACCAGACTGATGCTGACATTTTTATTTTTAATGAACATCAGCCGATACTGATTTGTTAACCGCTATAACAAATCTTGAAGGCTAACATTACTTCTTAAGAAACTACCTAGTTAGCTACCTCAGAATTGCCGCTGACTAGCAAAAAGAATGACCTTTTCTGAACTACAAAAGAGGGGCATTTCCCGAAAGCATCATAGTGCAATGAGCCTCCTTTTTGAATATAAATGAACCTTCCTATTATCCTGTGTTTCAGAAATTTAAACGGCAGTCCTGCAACTTTGCACGTCTACCTGCAGCCTGTCAATGTGAGAGCTCCCAAAAATCAATTATAACCGATTGTTGTTACAGATCGACGCGGTTGAATCGGCACAATAAAGCAATTCATCACAATGCATCTTTCAAAACCCCTAACCCCAGAGTGGACAGGAGGAAGACGAGGAGATAAGGAGCAGACACTGATCACAGCGCACTGCCACACCCACAACGCGACAAACCACCTCAGGGATGAGAACCTGAGTGCAGCCATGCAGTGGGTGATATCTCAGCACCACACCAGTCTGAATGGACCAGTGTGAATTTTTTGCAGTGGCTGGAGTGCCAATCACCAACACCCAAATTTCTCTAAGTTAGAGGACTTCCTTGCAGGGCTGGATATAAATTAGCGTCATATCCAGGATGAAGCAAGTGCAGCTTAAAGGCCTTGCTCAAGGGTCCAATGGAGTAAGATCACTCATGGCATTCATGGGATTCAAACCAGCAACCTTTCGAAGTTTACTAAGGTTAAACATGTGTACCTCTGGCCTCGCCAGTAGGAGTACTGCAGGCAAATCACGTTTATCCTCCATGAGCCCCTACGCACCCAGCCCACTGCAGCCCGCAAGCAGACACATTGCTCTGTGGGAGACTCACATTCACTGGATAATCCAAAGTCGGAAAAATTCTCCTACACTTTAGTCAGCCCATCGGGTCCCACTGACATCCCATAAGTAAATCTGCGCAGTGCTTCCTAAAAATAACCAGTTTCCCGTAGCCAGCTGTGAAACGCATTAGTTGGAAGCATTCATACATCTGCATACATCTTATTCCACCCTATTAAGAGCATTCCTTATTAACTGACTATTCTGACAAAGTCATCGCTCTCCCTAACTTCAGAGCACGACTCAGTCGGTCAAAGAAAGCAGGAGAACAAGTGAAGATCTCCAGCAATGTCCAGCCGTTTCAGGTCCTCACACTCCCATGGAGGCAGAGCCCCACGTCCCAACCCACGGGGCGTCCTCCTCAAACGGCCACTGAAGCAAGGGATCGTGTGGGAGATGTTAGACCTGCAACCCAGTAAGGGCCGCAAGACACACGGCGCATCCTGCCATCGCTGATTTATGGGCACCAGATCCAAGCTGGGTGAGAAAGCCCGGTGTGGATAGTGTGAGCGGGAACGGAACTCTCTCAGGTATGCCGGTGAGCCCCGCCGGGCCGCGAGAAGCCAGTAAATGTCCTGTTTTTAAAACATCATGCTGAACTGAGAAAGCTGTAAAAGCGGAACCTACGCAGGGCAATTTCATGGGACTGCGCCAAGATCAAGAGAGCCGTGAGCACCGCCGGCTGCTGGTGGACGAGGAAGACGAGGAAGAGAAGCCCAAGCCTACATCACAGCCCCAGCTGCCCATTTCTGCCTCTCGCTTCTAGAAAATTATATTATTTGTGAGACTGGGGGGATCTGTGCTGTTAAAAAACAAAAACGGAAATGGCATCCAGTCTGGCTCACCCGGGGCGGAAAGGGCTTCTTTGTTGGCCTGTATTTATTTTACCCTCTACCAGCTGATTTCTCATGACATCATCATCCTGGGGGGGGGGGGATTCACCCTGAATTGGTGCATCCTTCTGGAATTGTGCATTTTTCTCCTTATTTATCTTTATACCTAAATCACTGGACTGACTGGTTATGCACAAAATATAAGGTGATGAGCCGGAGACTCCTTACACACCTAATAAATCTGTTTAGCATGTGAGCTGACATCCCCAGTCCCTTCTGGCTACAGGGGACCCCATCAGAGGTGCAATTACTGGTCCGGATCCAGGAAGGATGACATTTACGGTCCTGGCCATGGAGGTGAAAACCTCGCAGAAGCCAAGAGGAAATGTCATATGCACAAGCGGCCCGACTCTCCTGGGCCAGGCGGATTGAAATGGCCCTGCCTGGCTCCCCCTGCGGGACTGCCAACCTGAGACAGCAGTCAGACAGCTGCGTGAAACTGGGGGTAGTGGGATCTCGCGTACAGCCAGAGCCATGGAGCACGAGACAGCAGGGGGAGTGGGGGGAGGGGGAGCGGGGGTACCTCAGCCATGTACCAGTGATGGGAAGACCTTCCCCTTCATGAACTTTTCATAAACTATTAAGAGAGAAAGCATCTCTATCTCTCTTTCTCACACACAAACACACTCACAGAAAGCAGACAGAAACCATGGACGGGTCTATCCTCCATGGACGGGTCTATCCTCCATGGACACACACAGTGTGGCCTTATCCTCTTTCCTGACCCCCCCCCCCGAGATACAGCGAGCTTCAAGTCCCTGACTGGAGCGAAGGGATGGCGGCGGCAGGGACAGGCAGGAAGGGTCACGTACCCATCATCTCCTCCTTCAGCCTTTCATTCCTCTCGTGGATCTGCTGCGGCAGGCGCTGCGGGAGGGGAGACAGCAGATGAGCCTCTGAGAGGAGTGGCTTCCACTGGAGAACAGCACTGGAGAACCAATTCCCACCCGCAGACTTTGACCCACTCAGGTGTAAGATCCAGACACATCTCCATGCTCTAGTGGCACAAAAATCCCCCCCCAACTCCTATGCCACTTAAAATTTCTTTGGCCCATTTCCTGCACCCCCATCCATTCCATTTTTATAGAGTGAAAAGGAAACTCAAGGATGGGACCGCACAGCAGCCAGGTTGTCTTGACGACAGCCATAGTGTGTCCTTAAGGAGAATCTCTCGCATGCAACGTGCGTAACCCTCGGATGAAAGCCACGGACTGAACACGGGAGGCCAAGCAGATGCCCACGCACGTCTATGACAGACAGAAAATTAACACAGAAGGCAGAACCTTAAAAAGATTAAGGTTACTGCCAAGGAGCACAAGAGGTCTGAAGGTTGTGCACCTTGCTCAGAGTTGGGAGAATGACTCACTATGTCAGGAAAGGGATTCACTACAGGACGAATATTTATGCCAGTAAGGGATGCTGGAAGTTGGTTAGAGGCTGGAATTCACTCTAACTTCCTAACGCCTGGATTTAGCTCGTGCTACAATTCGCAGTGCTTGGGAGACAGAATCCTGGACAGGAAATCCTTTTTGCTTTATACCTACCTCATTACATGCATGTCATCAGTTGAATCTGCTCCCATGCACTGTACATCTCCAATCCTCCATCCCTCCTCTCATCCCAGCCCCCCCCACGTTGTTCCGGCACACTCAGTGCTCTACAGGAAGGAAGCATCTTGCATAACCCTCCCCCTACGCAGTTCACACACAAAGGGTCCCCTGACGATATGCCGCGGCGTTGGAGCCCGAACACTCGTTTCCACCGGCTCACGTACGCGGCCTTGACTTCACTGAACATCCTGCTTCAGCCCCCATCCCCCCCCCTGCCATGTCCTGTCGTTAAACGCACTCTACGTGGAACGCTGGGTTTACGGGTCGTTCCGTGCCTGTCAGTGAGCATGTGCACAGAAGGACACTGACGAGATGCGTCAGGGCATGATCATATGAGGTCAGGTTACATCATGTTATGCTTTTGGGGCTACAGACTGCAAATGCTGACCTCGCTGCGCAGACACCGACATGGCGGCACTCGCGGGGAGCAGACGGCGGCTCACCAGGGTGGCCTCCCTGGCCTGCTTCATGCTGGGGTCCTTCTCCAGCACCAGCTTGTAGTCCTCCAAGGCCTCATCCAGCTTGTCTGTCTTCTCATACAACTCTGCCCTCCTCAGGATGGCTCTGATGTAGTCAGGGTTCAGCTCTATGGCTGAATGAGTCGAGACAGGGTGGCCCACCATCACCACAACGAAGCAGTCGTCCTATGGGACTCTAATCGGTCCCTATCCACAAATCGCGAGACCGTGGGCGTCATTACATTCACACAACAATTTCTGGTAGGAAAGGATCACTGCAGGAACATCAGCTCCCTCCCTAAGACACTCGCCACAGCACTTGGTCACTCTGCAGTGACAGAGCCCGTCCACTGCTCACTGCACATTCCAAACACTTAACATCTGGTGGGGGCGGATGGCTCTGCAGCTGAGCCTTTTCTCATCTCACCTTTGGTGCAGTCGGCTATCGCGCTTTCATTTTTATCCTGAAAGAGATGCGGGGGGGAGGGAGGAGAGATCAGAGCTCGTCATTCTGCATCCAGTAAGTGACATGTGCGACTGAGCGGGGAGGCGTGGTTACGAGGGGAACGAGGACCACGCACATCTGCATGGGGAAGCAACCTGTTAGCCAGCGGCCTGACAGCCATCAAACCACCCAGAAAGGAACATTCTACTCCTATCGAACAGAAAGATTCACGACAGGAAGACTGTGATCATTCAGAGTGGCTTAGTACTTGGTGCTGTGTCGGGCGGCTCAGGACCACGAGCCCACATGGAGAGAGTGCTACCCCTAACCCTAACCCTAACCCCCCCCTAACCCTAAGCCTAACCCCCATCACCGTCACAGGGAGGAAGGCGTCCTAGAGCCTGTAGGCTGAACACACTCTCCTCTGCCAGGTGACGGATGACTCATCTGACCATGTGACTCTCCCACTGCCTGTTCCTCACCCGTCTCGCTCACACAACTGCGTGTTAAAGTGTAATAAATGCTTTATGCACTTCTGCCTGACTGTAGCTGACATCCCTGTGAAGTTCTCGACGAACTGGGCGCATTAGATTAGCAAGTGTGTCAAAATACCTGAGGTGATATTTTACTTTGCATATTAAAATTCAGGCTTATGACGAATTCTAACACTTTCCAATAGAGGTTTAAGAAAACCCTCTCCAGCTATTAGGGAGAGAGTGGGGAGAGGTGAAGTCGTCCAATTTCGGCGCGGGCTCACCAGATGCAGTCGGGCCGCCGCACGGTTCGAGAACAGGATGGCCCTCTCCTTGCCATAACACACAGGGGATGCCCTCAGGGCAGCCGTGTACGACTCCTCTGCTTCACAGTGCTCTGAGGAGAAAGGTGTGCATTAGGCAGTGTGCAGGCAGACTCAGGACATAAAATATCATCTGGTCCTTAGTAGGTTTTAAAATGAGGTAAATACAACCTCCCAGATGAACAACACATGACATATTACACCATCTCATTAATTAACAAAATGCAGAAGCAGCGTGTGGCAAACTAAGTACACCCTTACTGTTTCCATAGCAATTAAAGAGGGTAAACAGAAGCCACGTGTTGCCAATAAATGCAGTTGATGAACTGACCAGCAGCAAGAGTGACCATCTCTACAAAAGCAGAAGTTGCAGCAGTTTGCTGGTCTGGAGCATTCAGGTGTGTGTTACCACTATGCCAAGGAGGAAAGACATCAGCAATGATCTCAGAGAAGCAAATAAAAAAGACCAATAGGATGTTGGGTTACATCTCTAGGTGTGTGGAGTTTAAGTCAACGGAGGTGATGTTACATTTATATAATTTCTTGGTAAGACCCCATCTAGAATATTGTGTGCAGGTTTGGTCACCATACCTTAAGAAGGACATTGCTGCTTTAGAAAAGGTGCAACGGAGGGCTACAAGAATGATTCCTGGCCTTAGAGGAATGTCTTATGAGGAGAGGTTAGCTGAGCTGAATCTGTTTATCCTTGAGCAAAGGAGACTAAGGGGGGAGACATGATGCAGGTCTATAAGATTCTAACGGGTCTGGATGCTGTTCAGCCAAATGGCTATTTCAATATTAGTTTAAATACTAGAACTCGTGGCCATAAGTGTAAATTAGCGGGAGAACCTTTTAAAACAAATTTAAGGAAGCACTTCTTTACACAGTGTATAATCAGAGTATGGAATAGCCATTTCCAATTTATAATCCGTCATTCAGTGAGAAAGATTATTCCAGGTTGGGGATTGAGAGGTCATCCCAAACACCTGCACCCACAGTAGGGATGTGCACGAGTACTCGATTAATCGATTACTCGAACCCATCAGCGACGATCGAGCATGAAAATGACGATCGATTGGCTCTAAAAATGCATTTTTATTAAATTAAACTACTCTCATTCTTTCTGATTGGTTATGCTGGTATTTGGGCGGCAATCTGATATTTGATTGGCTATGGCTGTGAGAAGTTGCGGTCTAGAGACAAGACCGGAGCACAGAGCGAAAACGGCTTCTAAAGCGCGCAGCGATGTCTGGCAACAAGATGAGCAGCGCCACAGTCGTCTACAACTCCACAGCGAGTCCGATGCGTTATCATCTTGCACATAAACACAAAAAAGCAGGTGATGCCGATGCCACTACCAGCAGTCAGACGAGCATAAGAGATTTCACCATCAGACAGAAATGCGACAAAGGCCGGGCAGAGAAGATGACGCAGTTAATAGCAGAAATGACAGCAGAAGGCTTGCTGCCTATTAGTTTTGTTGAAGGTGAAGGTTTTAAACGTTTAATGAATTACGTTGAGCCCCACTATACTGTCCCGTTGCGCAAAACGGTCACTGCAAGGATTGCGGGGCTTCAGTTGCCGTTGTTTTAAAGTAACGGGAGAAGCGCACCCACTACTTTATGATTGGCACGTAGTTCAAGCTTACATGCATTTTGTGTAGATAAATACAATTTGTAATATAACATTTACATATTTATGTATCTAGGCTATGTGATTAATTTTATATACAATGCGTCATGTAGAAAAAGCGCTTCAGCTTCACCCCATGCTGTTACTTGTTACTTATGTTTTAAATGTTTACTGTATACTGTGACGCAAACGCCCCGCCCCTTGCTTAAACTCCACCCCCGATCAATCGAGTACTCGTTTCTCAAACCTGTGGATTACTCGAAATGAAATATGATCAAAAATGCCCATCCCTAACCCACAGCGGCTCTCCGTGAATCAGGTTCACCACCCCTGGATAATTCACAAGTGGAAAACATTCAAAACAGCTGTCCTCTCTCCAGGAGTAGACATCCCAGCAAATTTCCCCCAAGGTCAGACCGTACAATGTTCAGAGAAACTGCAAAAAACCCCAAGACCTACATCATAGACTCTACAGGCCTGTTAGCACATTAAATGTTAAAGGTCATGACAGTACAATTAGAAAAAGACTGAGCAAGTATGGCTTGTATAGAAGGGTTGACAGGAGAGTCTCTTCTCTCTAGGTTTTCAAAGTTGCATCTCAACAAACCACAAGACTTGATTTGGGCTTGTTTTCCAGCCACAGGACCTGGGCACCTGGCAGTCATTGGGTAAACCATGAACTCTTCTGTATACCAATATCGTAGAGTCAAATGTGAAGCCATCTGTCCGACAGCTAAAGCTTGGCCGAAATTGGGTCATGCAACAGAACAATGATCCCAAGCACACCAGCAAATCTACAACAGAATGGCTGTATAAGAAAAGAATCAATGTCTTGCAATGGCCCAGTCAAAGTCCAGACCTCAACCCGACTGAAAGGCTGTGGCGGGACCTTACGGGAGCCATGTATAAACGAATGGCCACAAACCTCAATGAACTGAAGCAACGCTGTAAAGAAAACTGGGCCAGAATTCCTCCAAAATGATGTGAGACTGATAAAATCATACAAAAAACAATTACTTCAAGTTATTGTTATTAAAGCTACTGAATCCTGGGATGTACTTAATATTTAACACATGGCTTCTGCATTTTTACTTTATTTTTGTTAAATAAACAATGACACAGTAGAATCTGTTGGGCGTTGTTTTACACCTGAAGTTAGATTTAAATCATTTTAGAACCTGGTAAGGACCAGATGATTTGTTTTTAGTTATGTCCTGATACGTGAAACCACAGAACTGAAAGAGGGCATACTTTCTTTTTCACATGACTGTAGTAGCCAGATGCTGCAACAAGTGATGGACAGTTACAAATACAAATAAGTGCCTCCGCAGTGCTGGTGGGGAACGAGGCCTACCCCCTCTCTTGAACTGTGCATTTCCTGTCTCCTTCAGTTTCAGGCTCTCCTCCCTCCGGCTCTGAAAGACAAAACAGACCCCAGGGGAAAATATCAGGGTTAAACAATTCTGTCCCAAATTCTGATGAATACATACTCAGGAGCCCCGGCCATGTGTACTGCACCCTATGTTACTTCTAAATATTGCTATTCTATAAAAATGACAGTGTGTGTTCCCTGACTTATATCATTAAGGTTACTTCAATGCAACATTCCTCAAATGGAGGTGTTCCTGCGATTTCACCCAGACGTCTCAAATTCCTTGTATTTCACAAATATACAGCCCAGCTGAGCTGGTGAATGTGAACCACTGGCTGCGCGTGACAATTTGAACAAATGGCTCAGATATGGATGGACTCTCGTACCATCCTGGGTGTACCCTGCCTCATAAGGCAATGACCCAGGATGGATCAGTTACAGATGGACTCTCGTACCACCAGGGTGTACCCTGCCTCAAAAGGTTGCAGCCCAGGAACTGAAGAGATGAATTTCTAAAAGGACTGGCAAGTCGCCTGTTCAGGAATTAAGAACAAAGACAGGGGCACCTCTTTTTCTTCTTGGCTCAGGTCTTTCTCCAACTCGCTCAGGTACTCCTCATCAAATTCCGGTACCACCTCTTCCTTCACCCCAAACTCAGACTCTTCCACTCCATCCTGAGATGAATGCGCCCCCTGGTCCTCCTCACTGCACTCCACCCAGCTCTCCTGCTCCGGCTGGTTCCCTCTGTCCCTCCCTTCCTTGCTCAGATCCGGCTTGTCCCACAGCACAGGTTCCTCTTCTCCGTGAACATCCTGTCTTCCCTTCTCCCGTTTCCTGTCTGGGTGATTAGCGTCTCCCTCCCCCTCCTGCTCTGTCCTTAGCCTGCCCAAACTGTTGCTTGCTGGTTTTTCCTCAGTATCCTCTAGAGTCTCTCGACAGTCATAGAAGTTCTCCTCCAGCTCCGTCTCCCGAGAGGCGACACACGGGGGGCAGTCTCGCCCCCCATCAGCACTGCTGTACTGTTCAGAAACCCCCAGGGTGCGACCCAATGCTTCCGTAACCTCTTCCATGTTGCTAGCCTGCACCTCCCTGGCAGACTCCATTCGACCTGCCCGCTACACAAAGTCAGAAAGAGACCATATTTAATCCACAGTCAGAAAGAAATGACTTAAACTGAGAAACAATCTTAATTAATTAATTACTCTTACAAACTATTTTTTTTTTTTAAATCTACAATGAGGAATTTCAGTAGGCCCAGTGCTAATATACCTAGTTTACCTAGACATTTCATGGATTGGTGAAAATCAGAATACTACAGATATAACTATTAGAAAAGTTAATTCACAGCTAGAAAACACAAATGAAAATACCAGAATTAGAATAGAAACAAACAAACAAACAAAAAAAAACCTTCACACAACAATCATTGATGGTTGACAAAAACAAAAATCTTAGATAGAAAGCAATTAAGAAAGGACCAGAAGGTGATACTGTAAATCAGGGGGGGGGGGGGCAATCTTATCCGCAAAGGGCCGGTGTGTATGCAGGTTTTTGGGATAACCTGTAGGTCAGCTGTTCATACCCAGGTGTGAGGACTCTTCAGCCAATCAGTCCTCTTATTAGTAATCTAATTAGGGAGTTGCAGCGAAAACCCGCATACACACCGGCCCTTTGCGGATAAGATTGGCCATCCATGTATAAATAATGTGCTTTTGATCGTGGGCTACATAGCGCGGAGGTGGTTTATGGCCCGCCGCTTACTGACACGCGACCTTCTACGGATTAGGTGCCCGGAAAAGGTTTCACTTCTGTTTAACGCTACCAGTGATTAAATGTTTACCAAACACACACTTCGGATATATGACATTTATAATATACATAACAAAGACGGCTCCGTAGGTATACTTATAAAAAACGAAAACGAAACAGCTTGGTAATGTTCGTTTGTATGCTTTAACTCGTGAAATGAACAAACACATAGAATGGTTCTCAAAAATTCATTAACTTTGCTGTAACGTATAAGACGTGTAATTTATTTCATCCGTATATAAAGGAAAATTTTCAAATGAAGAAGACAGACTGAAAATATAATGTTAAAGATAGCAATTACATACAGCCGACACGCTCTGTCATTCCTACCTGAAAACACAGGGCGCTTCCGGAATACAATTTCCGCTCTGTCAGCGAATCAAAAGCTGGCCACGGGAATATGTGGCAGGAGGATTATGGGATACCGAGTTCTAATGTGAAACAGCAAATTTATAGACTGCTAGGATTTATACAGTAGTCTAAACATGAGTCCAGCAAGCTATCAGTATAGGAGCGAGCTCTCCAGAATTATACAGTGTAAGTAATATTCAGACAAATACATTTGAAAATATCGTCAAAACATACACTGTACACTCCGTATGTATTATTTCTTATGTGAATTTGCTGTGATGGTCAATATAAGGCACAAACCATAATAAAATCTCAGTAATTCTTGGTCAAACGTACAAATCATAATATACAAAACACTCCAGGTTATAAAAATGTCTAATTATGAGTTATCCTCGGTTACGTTGCCTCAACAAGAGAGGAAATGTTCTCGAAGTCACCAACCTCTTGTGACACAACCAATGGGACGACGATCTTTGAAAATCCGCTTCATCCATACTAAAGAATTAAATGTATTCTAATGTAATTCATATTAGTCCAATACACGTCGGCTGACAGGGCTTACCTGTACCGAAAAAAATCAGGCGATGAAAATATGAAGTCGGTAATTTCATCTTTGTGCGATGTTGCAATCAGGCACACAATGCTAAATGGACCATGTCTCAAATGGCGTGAATCCACCTTTGCGATAACACTTAAGATGACCCCCATTGTCCTTCTATAGGTGATATCCAGTGACAAAACGAACACCCTGCTGAACTCACTGAGGAATATGAAATATGTGTCATTAGATTACTATTAGGGCAGCGGGGTAGCTCGGTAAATTGTACTATATCTTCGCTCCTTCATTTAGGGGTGGGAATCCGGTCCCCGATTTATGGGTGTGGAACTTGCATGTCCTCCCTGTTTTTCCTGCAGTTAAAAGCCATACAGATAACTGAAATGTTCCCCCAAATGATGGTGTGTGGGCCTGTCCTGCGATGGACTGGCATCCCATCCAGTGTGTCCTCTGCTTTATGCACTTGTCATAAAATGTCTTCTTCCAAGCAATGCTCAAAACAAAACAAAAAATACATTTTGAAAATGCTGAAGTGTTAATAAAGCAAATAATGACACCTTTGAATATAGATAATAACAACAACAACAATAATAATAATAATAATAATAATAATAATAATAATAATAAAAACCTGAATGGACAACAAAACAACTTAGAACTTTTCTTAGAAGCTATTGTAACAAAATACCAAATAAATAATAATTAAACTAATTTTGGTGTAATGCCTTTTAGTTAAACTATTCCTTGTGTCTCTTACATCCTGTGGTTGTCCTTATTTGAAATAAGCCAAAAAAAAAACCCATCTGCCCCCAAAATGGCTGTGCCATGTTATTTCAGAGTGAATATGCACCCAGCAGAGCATAGAAACATCTGAGGCCCTGTCAGCTCGTCTCTCTCTGCCTAACGTGAGGGAGTCAGGCAGGCAGAGGGTGCCAGGCCTGGGTGATTCCCACGATCAGGCTAGCCCAGTTCTGACAGCTAATACTCCACACCTGTCTCAAAGTCCTCGGTGACTGCACACCACCTGGGCAAGCAAAGACAGGGCAGAGGATGGCACGGGGAGTCCGTCATTCCCATGTATGCTTTGATCTGCAGCGGTGTTTCCCAACCCAGTCCTCAGGGACCCTCAGACAGTTCATGATTTTGCATACTTACTGGAGCTAGGAGCGAGTAAAAACAAAGACTGCCTGTCAGGGAGCAAAAACCTGGATGGTCTGGCAGGGAGCTGGGAGAGAGCAAAAACGGGACTAGGCTGGGAAAACTGGTCTGTTGGGTTTGCAGTGGACACCAGTAAATAAGCAGAAGGACACACAGGTGACATAACCCGCTGTGAGTGATGAAAAAAGGTAGCAAAGGAGAGAAGGACTTGGGGAAGCTCAGCTGTAATGGATTATGAAAAATCATGAGAGCCAGCACTGTGAAGGCCCCTGCAGCCCACACTGTGCATACCTGTGCAGCAGTACCTTCAGCTTTCACAGAATATAATTCTTCAGACTTTAGGGAGCATAATTTCCAAATTAATGTAGAGCAAAAATGACACGAGTTCACAATAGGATTTCAATGCACCTTTAATGACAAAAACGTAAATAATACACACCTGAAATCAGAATGTGCGGCTGCAAGGCCGAGGCCGGCAAACACGTGACCTCAATAACGAACAGGAAATGCCACTTTCAGAACCGCATCCGTGGAATGCATGTATTTTTTGTCTTGATGAAGAGAACGACGATCACCCAGAGAGACGCAGAATATTTCAACCATAGTGAAAAGGACATCAAAGTATTACCAGCCACAAAAAAACTCTTGGATGCAAAAATATTATTGACGAAATATTTTTTTTACCCTGCTTCATGTGGGCACCTCGAAATAAATGAACAAAATAATAAACATTTGAAATCTTTAGTAGATACTACAAAGGCATCCCATAAACCCATATTTTGCTGTCTTTATTTACAAAGGTTTTAAACCTGCTATGGGCAAGGTTACTCTGGTGTAATGTTTCGTCAGTTCCTGCTAGATCTGGCTGACAGATGAAATGCTGGGACGATGGACGGAGGGGACAGGTTCAAGATTCAGTCTGGTGGAACCGGCCCTCAGTTTTGGCTACTTGATGGCAGAAAGATATATCTTTGTTACTTCTCTACAACAGTATGGTTATTTACTGACGCTTGCATAGCATACATATGTATAGTGTTGTGTTAGTATACCGTCATGTTTTGAAAAGTTCCGAATTATAGAATTCCTATTGAATACGTATATATTACCTCTGCTAGAGTGAAGCATATGAAATTCAAATCTATTGAGGAAAAAACACATTTCATATTGAATTGAAGCAGTGAAATGAAATGTCTCCCAGTTAAAGCAAAACAGGCACTGAAGAAAGGTTACAGGAACAGAGGAAGACCTCCACTGGAAAGCATTTCCAAGCACACAGCCTTCATTTTGAGCCGGCTTCTCCGACCCACGGCCTTTGTTTTGGGCCGGCCTCTCTGACGCCCGCTCCGACCCACCGCCTTTGTTTTGGGCCGGCCTCTCCGACGCCCGCTCCGACCCACCGCCTTTGTTTTGGGCCGGCCTCTCCGACGCCCGCTCCGACCCACCGCCTTTGTTTTGGGCCGGCCTCTCCGACGCCCG